CGCGTTAGTCACACCAGCGCGTTAGTCTCACCAGCGCGTTAGTCACACCAGCGCGTTAGTCACACCAGCGCGTTAGTCTCACCAGCGCGTTAGTCTCACTGGGTGAAGGCGCCTGACTGGCCCCTGTCTTCTGCTCTCCTTCTCTTGTAGAAACTATACACCGTGTGCGATGTGGCCATGAACATCATCATGTCCAAGAGCACCACCTACAGCCTCGAATCCCCCAAAGACCCAGTCCTGCCGGCTCGCTTCTTCACCCAGCCCGACAAGGTCGGTACTCGAGAACTCCATGTGCACCTTCAAGTAGGACCCAGCTCTGGGTGTGGGGAGATGAGTCAGGGAGGGACAATGTCCACTTGCCAGGTGGCTTCATGTGGGAGAAGGCCACAGCGTGGCTGTGCTGTGGCTTAGGGCACCCTGGGGACTGTACTGGGCCTGAGGACAGTCCCTGAGACGTCATGAGAGTGGATGGGCTGGTAGCCTTTGGCCCAGAATGGGAAGGAAACTGCTGAGAAAGGTACCCTGTGATTGACAGCAGAGTGAACAGAGAGCAGATCCGAGACCCCAGGCAGTGGTCCGTGAGACTCAGTGGTGTGTGTGAGGAGATTTTCCCCAGTCCCTCTCAGAGATTCGTAACACACTCCCCTCAAGGCTTAAGTTCACTCCCTCACTCTGGAAGGCCCGGTGTGTAGAGAGACACAAAACAGCTTCAGCCAGCAGCCGGGAACGGGAGCCTGTGCCAGCCGTCTCGTGGACGGGAGCGAGATGGCCGGGAGGGCTCTCCTGGAGGGGGCTGCTGCGCTGAAGCAGGGCTTTTCTGGAGCTCAGTGGGATGTGGGTCCCCTCAGATGTAGTGAGGCTGTGACCTCAGTGGTTCAGGCATACCTCAGCTTGGCATAGGTATACCTCAGCCTGTGATTGGAACACCTCAGCTCAGTGTGGGTGTATCTCACCCTGGTGTGGGCATCCCTCACACTGGCGTGGGCCTCCCTCAGGCACGCGTGCTCCGTTTTGTGAATCCTCTGATTTTATAAATTGAAGGTAATGGCTAGCTGGGCCATTTCCCAGTCCCACCTGCACTTGTGCGGTGTTTTAGTCACCTTCCACAACATTCCCAGCACGTTGCACACGTAGTAGTAGACCACAGTCCAGTGTTGGCTTAACTCTTGGTGCCCTCCCTGGGGGCTCAGGGCGCCTGGTTCTCTGCTGGGATTGTAGCTCAGGGGCTGTGACGGTCCAGGGGCCACGGTGACGCTCAGGTCTGCCTGCATGTACGTCAGCCCCTCAGCATGTGTCCAGCTGATTCCATAAATACGAGCTTTAGAATAAAATGCTGTTCTCTTGTCTCTTAACTTTTGAACTGCTTTATAGATAATTTCTCGACATTAATTGATGACTTCATTTTCTCTTGCTCGTAGAACTTCAGTAACACCAAAAATTACCTGCCTCCAGAAATGAAATCGTTTTTCACTCCTGGAAAAGTACGTCTTGAAAACCTCTTTTTCTGATTTTTGTCATGTGGTAGTATATGTGTTGGTATGCTTCTTGGCATGATGTTCTATTTTGGTTTTTTTAAAAATACTTGTTTTTCTCAAGCTAAAAAGAAAAAAATTAGCATTGTATATTTTATGTACTAGTAATAAGTGTTTACAGGCTAGGTGTGAGCTGACAGCCAAGAACTTAATTTTTTGCTTTCATCAAAGCTCAGGAAGTCTAGTTGGTCCAGTGCGTTAAGCGTTGGGCTGCCTGTCAGAACCAGCAGCCGTTTGGCCCCTCAGCTGCTCCGTGGGGGGAAGCTGAGCCGTTCCGTTCCCCTCAGACCTCGGCCGTGGGCACCGTGAGAGACGGTCTGCTCTGCCTTGTGGGACCTCTCTGTGAGTGGAGATCCTGATTCTTAGATGTCTTAATTCAGAATCTTGACATCCCTAGGTGTGTCTTTATGTCCTTCCACACGACAGTCTGTTTTGGTAGCTGACTGGATATTTCTTCTGTCCTCACGGCCTCTTAGCCTTTTCCTCCAGATGACAAAGACACGGGGCCGTTAGCTGTCAGGACCGTTTTTAAATGCTGTGATGCAGTGGTAATTCTCCTCCTGGAGGATAGGTGCCTTTCCCACGCCCTGAACGCGTGCACAGGGATGCGACCTACGTGGCAGCCAGCTGGGATCTTTTCATTTTAGTGACACGGTTTCCCATGTCTTGCTTCAGCCTAAAACCACCAATGTGCTTGGAGCCGTGAACAAGCCGCTGTCCTCGGCAGGCAAGCAGTCTCAGAACAAGTCCTCCCGCATGGAGACCGTGAGCAACGCCAGCAGCAGCTCAAACCCAAGCTCCCCGGGCAGGATCAAGGGCCGGTACGTGCAGAGCGCGGGCAGGACTGCCAGCCCAGGGCCGTCAGAGCGGGGAAAGCCAGGCACCTCACACTCACCCCCCGCTGCTGCATGGCGTGAGTGCGTTGAGGAGGAGGCGGTCACTCTCCCCTCTCCAAGCTGAGTGTGACTGGATGGTGTGTGTTAGTGACACAGATGGTCTAGTTTCCAAGTTGAGCCTCCAGCAGTCAAGAAGCTGGTCTATCCAGGGTACAACCATGCGAAGGAATACAGTACAGTCAGGAAGGTGGGGTCTGCGCCAAGGCCGGCACTTGCACAGACACAGCCAAGTGGAACAGGCATGCTGTTGGTAGGTGCCACTGAGTCGAGTAGGACTCCCACTGAACAACCCGTCTGAGCCCTGTCCTATTCCGCGCCGTCCTCGCAGTCTCTGGCCACTGGAGCCCATTGCTGCAGTCATCGTGTGTGCGTCCACCTAGAGAGGGTCTTCCTCTCTGTCACCACCCCGACTCTTCCAGGTATGGTGTCCCTCTCCTGGCAGTACCCTCTCCCAAACATGCCCAGAGTATGTGAGATGAAGCTTCCTCACCTGTTCCTCCAGGGAGCCCTCCGGCTGCACCTTGTGCAGGACAGGTCTGACTGATGTTTTGTGGTCTGTAGGTTCTTCTGCACTTCTGTCCAGCACCACAGCCCACACACATCGATCCCTATTCTGTCATCTTTAGTCATTCTCAGATGGGTAGCAAGTGACTGAAAAGACAATGGCCTAGTAGTTTGGAGAGATCTCCTGACTGCTCCCAACAGGAGTGTTGCTTGTGTTGTGAATGGCTGCATCTGTGGAAGAAATTGTTGGGGAAGCCCAATACCAGCAATCAAAACTAGGCCAGAAAAAAAAACAAAACAAGCCAGGTCAGGTGCTGACTGTGGAACACAGCGTCAGTTACTCATGTCCAAGTTCAGATTGAAGCTGAGGAAAATTGAAACAAGAACCAGATAGGGTCTTGAGTTTATCCTACTGGAATTTAACAATCTTAACAGTACACTTGAAGCATTGAACACTAATGATTGACGACCAGAGGAGTCATGAGAAGAGATCAAGGACATTGTTCATGAAAAGAGCAAAAGGTCACTAAAAAGAGGAGAAAGAAAAGACCGAGATGGTTGTCAGAAGGGACCCTGAAAATTGCACTGGGGCATCGAGAAGCCAAAACAAAGAGAAGAGATACTAAAATGAAAGAGCTAAACAGAGGATTTCAGAGGGCAGGTCTGGAACACAATGCAGAGGATTAGAACCGAATGTGCAGAGAGCTGGGATTGGAGAATCAAAAGGAAAAAACTTACTTGGCATTTCTCAAGCTGGAAGAACTGAAGGAGAAAGAAAAATCCAACCCCCAAGGTGCAATACTGAGAGGTGCTATGGCAAAATCATGATCGTGGAACCATCCAGAGAAGATTAAAGGAATACACATTAAAAGGGTTGACTGACACGGAGATAGCCCAAGAAGTATCGTCTGAAAACGGTATTGAGACATTCCGCTGCACTGAAGGTGAAGGTGCTGGCACACAGGAAGGTGCCAGGAATCAATGGAGCTGACGTTTCAGCTAACCGATGCAACCTGGGTGTGCTCCCCAGCACGCCAGGACACTTGGAGGACTGCTGCCGGGCCCACTGGCGGAAGAGCTCCGTATTTCTTTGTGATAGGGACTCCACAGTGTGCGTGTTACTGTGTTTGGTGACGTGGGAGATCAGCTCCCATCGAGGAGTTTCTAGACGGGTCACTCCGACCGAGGTCGTCCCGCCCACAGCCTGTGCGTTTTCTCACTTCGGTCCTGGCTGCTCTGTTCTGCGGAATCTGTTCATCTTTGTGTGAGGTTGCTCACTGTCCGTTTGGTCTCATAGGAGTAAGTTTTTTAAAGGAGATATTCTGTATTTGTATATTGTTGAGCTAATTTCTTACTAGTTATATGGGATTAATTCAAGAGCTGGTTTTAATTCAAGGTTTGAGGAGAAACTGAGGGCAGTAACCATGGAGTCCTCCATTCTCAGTCAGCCCTCCCTTACTGCCCCATAGCCGACCCTCCAGGTTTTCCAAAGACTTCATCATGTGGGAGGAGACGGTCAACAGAGGCCCTGGTGAGGTCGAACTACCAGAGAGGTATGTCCTTTGGCTGAGCTGAGCAAAGCTCCCCACGCCAGCCTGCTGGGTGGTTTACGTTACCGTTTTGTAGACAGGAATTTGAGGCTCACGTTCTTTGAGATTGACCATGATGGTCCTGATCAGATGGTGGAAAGGGATTCTTACCCTCTTAGGATAGTTACACCATGTTTCATGTGCATTACTGACCCTGGAGACTAGTTTTTTAAAAATTTAAATTATTTTAAAACCACATATGACATTCTCAGAAAAGGGAAATGAGCCTATATATGAGGGTCTCAGGTCTCTGGTGCTGCTGTGACAGGGACACCACAGGTGGGTGTGTCTCAGGTCTCTAGTTCTCTCTTTTATAATAGAAAATGACTGATAGATCCCACATGCACATGCCTTTAACAAAGGAGAACTTATTCCTGCCCAGTTTAGAGCCTGATGTTGACTCAGCGTGCTGGCTCTGAGGACCAGCTTTCTCCTTGTCACGTCTGAGGAAGGTTCTTGTGTCCTCCAGCATTGAGAGGCTTGGCTTCCTTGGACTTCTCTTGCTGTCCACCTTTGTCAAGGACCTGGGTCTAAAGCATGTGCTCTGCCTTTTGCTGTCTTTTGGCACTGAGGTGTCCTTGGCATCTGTGACCTTCAACCCCTCACATACTGCTCTCTCCTTGCATTTTCCCCTCTTATTCTCATAAGCCTAAAGTAGTGAAGAGTTCCCCCTGAGAAACTCTAGACTGTCTGAGATAAGGGAGTGCATTCTGTCTTTGTAAGTAGTTCATCTCATTTTAAATGACTTCTCTATATGCAAAACCTTTTCTTGGACCAGGAAGCAGTACTCAGAACAGAGTAGGGAAACACTGCATTGTTCAGGATCAATAAAGGTGTACATCAGAGATGGAGCCTAACTCCATATGTGTTCAATCTATACAGAACGGATCATTCAGGAGGCTGGACTTTATAAGGAGGAAGCTTGATCAACAATCTGCATTATGAAGATGCTACAGTCTTGCTTGCTGAAACTGAAGATGACATGAGGCATTTACTGCCGAAGGTCAAGGATTGTAGTCTTCAATATGGGTTGAAGCTCAACATCAAGACACAAAGATTCTCACCACTGGGCCTACTGGCAGCTTTTTGATAAATGGTGAAAAGATTGAGATTGTTGAAAACTTCAACTTGCTTGGTTCCACAGTTAATACTCTTGACATCAGCAGTCAGGAAATCAAAAGGCAAATTACATCTATTGTAAAGTCTGTTGTTAGGGACTTCTCTATAGAGTACAGAATAACAGCGATGCCAGTCGGGAGACTAAGATGCACCTGATACAGGCCATACTGTTGATTGCCTTCAAGTCGAGCACAACTCATAGCCACCCTGTGAACAAAAGGCCTGAAGCCCCTCTGCAACTATGGACATTTATCAAAGTTCATAGAGTTTTTGGAGGCATGTTGCTTAGGAAGTGGATGCCACTCCTGCTTCCAAACCTGTCATAGAATGTTATTGGTTGAGTCGCCTGCAGTGCATAGCAACCCTGTGTACAGCAGCTCTGAACCCTTCCCTGTCCTGAGCCAGTCTCACTAGTTCTGAGACACCGACCCCCATTGTCCCAGTTACTGTGTCAATCCATCTCCTCCGGGGTCTCCCTCTGCCACGTTGTCCATCCACCCTTCTGAGCATGATGTTCTTCTCCAAGGACCAGTCTTTTCTCCTGGCCACATGCCTAAATTAAGTGAGGTGGAGCTTCAAAATCCTAACCTCCAAGATGTTGCAGACCGAGGGTCCCAAAGAATGGAATAATTTCATAATTATTAATAATGAGACAAACAGCCAAGAATGAGATAGAGCAGAGAGCATAAAACGGGGCCAGCAGTTCTCGACTGAAGACCCTAAGTCATGTTTCTCTGTGTATTTATTGAAAATTATCAGGAAGTAAATCACAAAGAGAATTCAATGCAAATGAAGCCAAGCTCTTTCTATTGAAAACCTTCTGCTTGACTTAGGAGGGAGGGGTTCACAAATGCAAGAATCTGATAAACCTTAAGGACTGCCTTAGTGCCTCCAGGTGAACTCTAGCTCAGGAGGTAACACTCCCTCTGTAGGGGGACCCTAGCTGTCTCCTGTCTGCAGGGAACAAACAGCTCATTTTCTTGATCTGCCACTAGAGAAATCCTAACTTCTAAATCTGTAATTCCTTCAATTCCTGAACAAGGATTTTCATATAAGATTTGGTATAAAGTTTGGCTTCCCATACCAAAACAGAACTGTTTTCTTGGCAGTCCATGACACGTTCAAGACTCTTCTCCAGCATTACAACTCGAAGGCATCTATTCATTCCCTGTCATCCATAGACATTGTCCAACTTTCTGAAGCATAACAAGGAATTCCGAAGACCATGGCCTGGACTAGGTGCACCTTTGTATCTAGACTGACATCATTACTCTTCAGGGCTCTGGAGAGGTCCATGACCTCAGATTTTTCAAATGCAATTCATCTTTTGGTTTCCTAACTGCTGGTGTTGAGAGTATTGATTGTATGCCCTGCTGGAGAAGGAGGGACAATCTCCTTCTGTACCAGGCAGATCTGATTTGACTGTACACACACACACACACACACACACACACACACACACTAATAACTTTTTTTAAAAAAAAAAGACTGTTGATTGTGGACCTGATCAAGCTGTAATTGCTAACAACCTCAATCTCCTCTTCATCCAAAATGGTCCTGCCAATTGACCCAGTGGTGAGAATCTTTGTTTTCTTGATGTTGAGCCTCAATCCATATTTTAGACAACAGTCCTTGACCTTTTGCAGCAAGTGCCTCAGGTCTTCTTCAGCTTAAGTAAGCAGGGTTGTGTCATCTGCATCTCGTAGGTTGTTAATGAGTCTTCCTCCAGTCCTGATGCCACACTCCTCCTCATAAAGCCCTACTTCCTGAATGATCTGTTCTGCATACAGATTGAAAAGGTACAGGGACGGAATGCATCCCTGACACACTCATTTCTTAATTTTGAACCATGCAGTGTTTCCTTGCTCTGTTCTCAGGACTTCTTCTTAGTCCAAGTATAGGTTTTGTATAAGTACGATCAAGTGCTCTGAGATTCCCATTTTCCTCGAGGTCAGCCACAATTTTTTGTGACCCACACAAATACCTATTCATAGTCAATGAAACACAGATGGACATTCTTCTGGTACTCTCTGCTTTCTGCCAAGATCCAACTGACTTTTACAGTAATGTCCCTCGTGCCACGACCTCTTCTAAACCCAGCCTGTATTTCTGGTAGTTCTCTGCCACTGTCCTGTTCCATTCGTTTCTGGATAATCTTCAGGAGGATTTTGCTAGTGTGTGATATTAGTGATACTGTACAGTAATTTCCACACTCTGTTGGGTCACCTTTTTTAGAATGGGAATAAATATGGATCTCTTCCAGTCAGTTGGCCAAGTAGTTGTCCTTCAGATTTCTTGACACAACTTGGTGAGCACATGCAGGGCAGCATCCGTTTGCTGAAATACGTCAGTTGGTATTCCATCAATACCTGGTGCTTTATTTTTTTGCCAAGTCCTTCAGAGCAGCCTACACTTCCTCCTTTGTCACCACTGCCTCTTGCTCATATGTTGTTTCTTGAAATTCTTCTGTGTCAGCCAATTCTTTTTGGTGCAGTGGCTCTGTGTACTCCTTCCATCTGCTTTGAATGCTCTTGAATCATTCACTGTTCTGCCCGTAGCATCCTTAAGCTTAACATCCTTAAACTCGTGCCTTGACTTTATTCTTTAGTTCCTTCAGGCCATGGTCTTTGCGATTGATTACTGTCCATCAAAGAGCTGGATAATGACCAAAGAGGACAGACAAGGAGTGGATGCTTTTGAGCTGTGATGCTGGAGAAGAGTACTGACTATACCATGAACTGCCAAGAGAACTAGCACGTCTGTCCTGGAGAGAGTGAAGAATTGATGCCTGTGAGCTTTGGTGCTGGCCAAGAGTACTGACTATACCATGAACTGCCAAGAGAACTAGCATGTCTGTCCAGGAGAGGGTGAAGCCAGGCTGCTCTCTGGAGGCAAGAACTTTGAAGCTCTGTCTTATGTACTCTGGGCATGTTGCCAGGAGGGACCAGTCTTTGGAGAAAGAATGACACTTGGAGGAGTGGAGGGACGGTAGGAGAGGAAGACTTTGGATGAGAAAAATTGACACAGTGACTGAGGCAACGTGGGTATGTGTGTCAGGGGCAGTGAGATTTGCTCAGGACAGGGCTGGCTTCAGAGACACTGTGAACAGGGTTACTGTGAATTAGAGTCAATTGGACAGCACAAGACAACAATATTAAAAACCCACAAAATAATAAAGAACAAACCCTGTGGACCTAGTTTTTGGTGTGTGTCCTCTTAGCACGGTCTTCACAATTACTTGCTGTGCATCAGAGAGCTGGACCGTGACTAAGGATGATAGAAGAATTGATGGCCTTTGAGTGTGGTGCTGGAGAAGAGTATTGAACATATCACGGACCACCAAGAGAACAAATAGGTCCATACTGGAGAGGATGAAATGACGTTTCTTCTTGGAGGCTAGGATTCTGACACTCCATCTCACGTACTTTGGGCATGTGGCCAGGAATGACCAGTCCATGGAGAAGGACATCATGCCCGGAAGGATGGAAGGACAGCACAGGAGAGGAAGACCCCTGATGACATGGATTGATACAGTGACTGGAGTCATGAGGGTAGATGTGTCTAAGTCAGTGAGACTGGTTCAGAATGGAGTAGGCTTCAGCGTGATTGTGTGTAGTATCACTGTGAGTTGCAGGAATCTTGACACATAACACAAGACAGTATACGCTTAGTTGGCACTTTAAATCCAGCAGCTAATCTGCAGGGAAACGGCGGGCGACTTCCTCCTATAAATATATACAGTCTTGGGAAGACTGATGGACACGCGCCATCAGTCAGAACCAAATCCATGACAGTCAGTTTGTGGTTTGGTTATTAGGTAAAATCCACTCTCCTGTTGCGTGTTGTCTTTGTGCATCACATGTCAAAGTAGTAATTTTCTAAATAGAAATAAACGTTAAATCCGTCTAAGCAAACTAGCTGGGAGGATAGGGAATGATGATGACTTGTGATAGTGACCGTGAAAAACATCTCTCTTCAAAGGCTTGACAGTTCTGAGATGGATCACAGTGAGAATGAAGATTACACCATGTCCTCACCACTGCCTGGGAAGAAGAGTGACAAGAGAGAGGACGCTGACCTTGGAAGGGTGAGCTCTTGGCATGGACCGTGTGTTGGCCTCCACAGCAGTGATGTGGAGGTGTCTGTGTGGACCGTGTGTTAGCTTCCATGACCGCAGCGCTGAGGTGTTTGCGTGGACTGTGTGTTGGCCTCCACAACAGTGCTGTCGAGGGTGTGTGTGTGTGTGTGTGTGTGTGTACACACTGTGTGTTGGCATCCATAACGGCAGTGGTGAGTTGTTTGCATGGACTGTGTTAGCCTCCACAACCGTGGTGCTGTGGTGTTTGTGTGGACTGTGTGTTAGCTTCCATGACGGCGGTGGTGGGGTGTTTGCACGGACCATGTGTTAGCTGCTATAATGGCATTGCTGAAATGTTTTCCTGGACCGTGTGTTGGCCTCCGGGACAGCGG